AACTTTGAAATTATGTCAATACTTTGAAGTTTCTTGTAGTTTGGGAGTAGGATTATAGCTATTTGGGGAGGGGGGGGGAGGGGAATGGGTTATAGCACACTTCACACAAAATAGATTTTTCAAGGGTTTTAGGGATCGCCTATAACACTGCCTGAATATGTCTCGTTTTCATGTCAGCAACGCTCGCGTCGCTTACTCGTTTAGATGTTTGCAGATCGATCATTAAACGTTTATCGTATTGCGTCATTTGCTTACGAACGCTACACGAAACTTACTTTCAGATTGCATGTACAAGCACTTACGAACGTCTTATCCGAAAAAGGGTCGATAAGATATTTTTATCAGAAACTGGAATTCCATTATTCGATCTGATGCTCGAACATAGCTTTATCTTCGGATCATTTATATCAAAAGGATCAAAGAAAGGTCGATACTTTTTTTTAAAAAAAAAGGTTCCTAAACTAGAGAAGAATACTATAAATGAACATAAGAATCATAAAAAGGTATGCTTCAATTTCTTAAGGAGAACGAACTAAAAATATTTATTTTACGGCACTCAAGACAATTCTTCGGATTTACGTAGAAAAATCAGAGAAGAACAACGAAATCAGTCAGTCTTGTCATAACACTTCAATAAAGACAAGTTGAATAACATTTCTAGACAATATTTTATAGAACTTATTATTTTACAGTGTACGTAAATAGTTTGTGAGTGCATGTGAAAACTCGGACACATGATGAAAAGGTGAAGATATAAGGAGTAATGCATAACGCAACGCTCTTGTCAGCAGACGGAACACAGGGAACCCAATATATCAAGAGTGTGAGCAGGATTCAGAGGAGGGTATTCACTAGATTGCCATGCGGCAGTTCGATTTGGACAATATAATTGGCCGGGAACAGGTTGGGAAAGTCCTTTATCCAGCACGTGTGATCCTGGTTGGGTTGCCCGTGTCTTATTCAGTGCGGGTGAACATGAGACGAAGGCATTTGCGAAAGTCCTAGTTAGCGCAAGCAAACTATAAAGGGAGGGAGCCTCTAGAGACCAGAGCACCAATAGCATGCATTAACTTTATTGCCTTACTTAATATAGTTGTGGGAAGAGCCATTGAGCTTCAACATATCATTAACGGAAAAGAAGTCACCGTACAGCGATACCCTGCTGAAACGAGGATACCTGAGGTAACTAATTTACGTTAAGGATGTTAAATCTTCCTCATAGGACGTCACGATCGGAATAAAGTTTTCTTAGGTATTATGGTTCTTGAAATTATGTGCAAACTTAAGGATGTTCATGGTCATAGCCCGCGCTCAGCGCTCCAGTCCTATCTAAACATGAGTATATGTGCTCATTGTGATGACGTCATTCGAATGTTTTCGTAAAAATGGGTTACTTGTGTAGAGTATAATGGGTTACCTGTGTCAAAGATATCTTGGGTTAGCAGAGCACATAGTAGAAACTTTGGAGAGATCCGTTCGGGAATGGTTGAGCCCTCAAATTATCGTAAATCTGACCCCTTTGCTTGTAAAATAAAACCATATTTTATATTCCTAATGTTCAAAATAAAGATTAATCCTAAGCAATTATTGGGTCATTTTCAAGAGTTTTATGGAAAATGAGAACGATCAATTTATTTTTTACTACTTTTCCATATTTGCGTTCGTGCGACTTTACCGCAAAAAGGATGAACTTCCACGCAATCCTCCAGCACGCTAAATGAAGTCGATGAACCCCATTTCTATTTTGCGCATTTTACTTGTAGTATAATGTACGTTCATCGTGCAAAATATTAGAAATATTGCGATGGGTTCTTTTTGCCGAAAACGGTGGATCTTGAAATTGCGGATCTTTTAAAATGCGTCATCACGTGGCTTTTGCAAGAAAACTATAGTTATTCTTTCAATTCAGTTTTGTTTCACCTGCCATTCCCAATGTGTTGAACGAATCTAATCTCCCATTTTCTAAGCAATCAAAGTGTATCAGCTTTGTAGAAGGAATAGATGCGCGTTTAAATAAAGTGTTCCTACTTGCATCATAATAAGAGTAATTGAATAAACAGTAATGATAAAAGGGTAAATTATATACACCGTGAAAAGATTAAAAACTTACTGACGTTTCGGACGCGGTGTATAATTTACCCTTTTATCATACTGTTTCATTAGAAACACCGACGCAGCTCACACTAGTTTTAGCTCATATCTCTTCTAATGGAATAAACACTATCTTTTGCAGATCTTTTCTCTCGTAGATGTAAGAATCAATCTTAAAGTCTTTGATGGCTCCATTTTCKTATTARAAGAAGTGCTCWCCTATCTARAAAGTGAACTTGGAATTGAATATTGCGAGAATAGATATGGATATTCAATCCGTGGATCATACAAGCAAATTAGATCATGTCGTAATTATATCCAGGATAATATTCGTAATGGCAAGATCTCACAACAGATGCCACGAGGATGTGCTATCTATGGCGAAGCTGAAGAGGCTGCGTCACCTGAAGAAAGGGATGCCACTTCAAGATCTACTGAAACAAATGATTACAAAAAAAACGATGCCATGACTTTCCAGTCTGTTCCTATCATCTTGCAATTTATCTTTACTGTCTCAAAGTATGCAAGAAGAATTCAAGATATTGAGTCAGAATTCAATGTCAAAATTGGTGCWGTTGATGGTGGGTCAAAAGTGTYAATCAKMCCATTGCCAGGATGCACGCAGACAAAACATCATGATGCCTGTGAGGAATACATTGAACTATACAAAGAGGTCTGTGACAGTCCCAAAATGTCTAAGAATCTCCTTCTCAGACCAGGCATCGGTTCAGACTTCTCGGTTAAAGAGGTAGTAATGAAAGTATTGCTAATGGAACCAGTTGCCATTCAGGAGATGGAGGAACAAGATAAATGGCTGTTTTACGGGGAAGAGACGAATGTAAGGTCTGCAATCAACGCAGTATGCAACATGTTGAAGATTGATAATCCGCTTCGAAAAACTCGTAAAGCAAGAGTACGACAAGTTACAGAGAACGATGCTGGTACAGCTCATAGCCTCCCGAAGCAATCGGGGAATGACAAGGCAGAGGAACATGCAGTGCAGAAACATCCCAATAACGTAAGAAGTCATATTCATAAAGACTTCCCAGGTGACACAGAACAGCCTTGTGTGGTTCAAACAAAGAAGGGATTCCGGTKGACGGTTTACCAGGGAGACATAGTTGAAGAGCGAGTTGACGTCATTGTCAGCACCACTGACGATTCTCTTGGATTTTTTGCGGGATTATCTAAAGCAATTGTTGATAAAGGAGGACGCACAATCGAAAAGGAAATTGTAGCCGAAAGTAAACGGAAAAAGATAAAGCCAGGCAACATAATCGTGACAGGACCAGGAAATCTGCATTGCTTGAAAATTCTCCATTTGATCACTAACAGACACAAAAGGACCAAAGAAAAGTGTAAGGCAATTGCCAACGCAGGGTGTTTGCATTGCCTAAAGGTCGCACAAAAACAGAAACTAACTTCCATTGCTTTTCCAGCTTTGGGAACAGGGCTACAAGGAATAACCCTAGACACCTGTGCAATAGCTATGCTCAATGCTGTTGAGGAATACATGAAATGCAATGATCCGAAAGTAGACGCCGTTGCCGATATACGATTTGTCCATTTGGATGCCCGTGCAGCTGAGGTATTCAAAACTGAAGTCACAAAAAGATACGGGGATTCCATCGTGAAACCGTCTGGAGAAAAAGGCTACGGTAGACACACCGATTATGAGACTTTATCTCCCCCTTCACCAGATTCTAAAGTTGTATCATCAGTTGGTAAGTTTGAAATTTATGTACAGACATAGCCCTCTCCATGCAAAAACAATTTAATAGATTTGAGACCGCTGTATGTAAAATAAAGATGTAAACGAGCAGGTCGGCAGTTCCAAAGTGTAAAAAAAAACTCTCATATTGTATTTCTATCTTGATTTATTTGAATTTTCAGTCGTTTAACTGATTCGTATTCATATAACAGTCTTATAACTAACTCTTGCTGATACACATTTAAGGAATGGATCATAGATAGCTTGCATCCATCGAGATATGGATGCACGCGGGAGGTTGCTAAGCACGAAGAAAAGCGTAAGAGTTGCACGACGCGAAGCGGGGTGCAACTCTAGCTTTTTTGAGTGCTTAAGCAACCTCCCAAATGCATCCATAACTCGAAGGACGCACAGCTACTTATGATCCATTGCTTTTATAATATAGTCAAGTCAACAAACAAGAAATGAATACAAAATATAGACTGTATTTGTTGATCATGCCCTAAATTCTCCTTACGCACCTTGCGTGAATGAAAAGCACAAAGGCGCCAAAATCAGAAAAACAGTCGTTTTGAAAATGGCAGCTTTACACTGAAGACGGTTATGACTAAAATAATGGCAAAAAGTTAGCTTACAAGTGAATCAAAAATGTCCAAAACTACGGAGAAAGTGATTTTCAACTGTAAGAAGTACATTTCAAATGTTGACAGTACAGTAATGCCAAGAAAATCAATGAAAACCACAGTGGCTGTCTTTGTTGTTGTTGACGATGTTCAAGTTTGTTATCGTACAATGACTTAGCAATGGAAAGCTTCTTGTACACGGATCAAAACTAACTGACTGAACTGGATTAATTTTCTCTGGGTAGTATGCTATGTCGGCTTTCACTCCCATGTAGAGCTTCAGAAAGGACTTCACTGCAGTTGTGAAGCTGCGAAGTAGATGGTGAGCGTGATATTTATAGTTAATTACTTTGGAAATACTTTTGTCGAATGAATACGCGATAACAATATTTTTGTATTTGTTTAATCATTGCTAATCCTTTGAATGTAGGCACCGACCGATTTGTGGTTTTGTGGTTTGCTTTGTCTTTTTGGAGTGACGCTCTGACACAATCTTGTCCAGCTCACTGTTTGAAAGTGATGCAAATCTTGACGTTTTATTACTAGGCTGATCAAATGACAACTCTATACTAAATGTCGGAGATTGATGAGTATTTTCGCTAGTTTTTTCACTCATTTTCAGTTATCTTTTCTAAATAAATTGTCAGCAAAAAGATACAAAAAAAGCTGACGTGAGCTTGCAACCCATGGGCAAATGGTTCATACTTTTCAACCAATCAGATCGCGCGGATTTACTTTGCTATATTATAATCTTACTTTGCTCTATCGCAAAACCTCTATGTTTTGTATTTATACTTTAATTTGTTAAATGCCATATCTAAAAAAATATTCCACTGTTCCAACCACCTCCCTCCGCATCTCTCCCAATCTTACAAATAGCGTTTTTGTTAAATATCTTGAATTTGCGATCTGGATTCCATCAACATCAATGATATTGACGCCCTTGACTGTTTTAGGACAACCTCATGCGCACGCGCAAAAGGCCTCAAGTGCTAGTTAACTAACGGTTTAATATTTAAAATGCGTGCGCAAGCCATCATTTTACTAACGAATGCCCGTTGGTAAATAGTCCAAGCGTCTAGTTATCATTAATTAAAATCAGAGACAAATCAAATACTGAAATTTTTTTGTCGTTTTATTTTTTTTATTTTTTTCAGATAAAAAGACAGGAAAGAAAGAAGATGATGATGTCTGTCCGATCTGTTTGGATGGTTTCCATGATCCTACAGCTCTGCCAAAGTGCAAACACAAGTTCTGTAAGAAGTGTATTGATCAAGCTTTCCAGCACCGTAAGGCTTGTCCTACCTGTGGAATGGCCTATGGAGTGCACACAGGAAACATGCCACCTGGTACAATGAACCACTACTTCGACAGTTATCCACACCTTCCGGGATATGAAAGATGCGGTACCATAAGGATAGACTACAATTTTCCAAGTGGAACACAAGGTCCTGAACACCCAAACCCAGGACAATGGTACGGTGGAACTTCAAGAACGGCTTATTTACCCGACTGCCAAGAGGGAAGAGAGGTACTGGATTTGCTCAAAAAAGCATTCAATGCAAGGCTGACTTTTACCATCGGACGTTCTGTGACTACTGGTGCTTCTAATGTCGTGACATGGAATGATATACACCACAAGACCAACCCTTATGGGGGATCAACTGGGTAAATAAATAAAACTTCTCAAATATCAGTAAATTTAACTGAATAATGTTGTATTTTTGTTGGTGGAGATGGTGGCAACTGGTGTTGTAATATTTTAAAGAGGGAATTCAATTATTGAATTAATGTGCCATGAATTCGAAGAAATTTCGAAGAAATGAAATTTTATAGAAATATTTTATTTGTAGCCGCTTTTGGCATTATTATTATTATTATCATTATTATTATT